TCAATTAGAGGAAAACAGGACAGTTCTACCCACAGCTGAGGATTATTCTTTCTCCACAGAAATGTACTCAGGGTACATTCATCATAGCAGTATCATTAGATTAAGAGTAGACTTCTGAAAAGTCTGTTTTTCAGGATCCCACTCCAGCTAAACCAAAGAATTATCAATCATTTCCAAGTGTACAGACTGAGCTGTTTCTCATGTTCTATTCAGATGTGTCTCATGTTGCACCTTCCCCAGCCAAATGCTTTACTTTCCCAACTTGTAGAAACTAGTTCTGCACATGAGCCAGAAGACAAAATTGATGAAGGCTGACAAATTGCAGTTCCAGAGGAGTTTCAAGAATTGGCTGTAGTTGGTACTGATGTACGTCTGGATTCTGGAGGTAGGGATAAGAAAATTCTATTAACCTAAGTTTTAGTGCTCTTAAAATCTCAAGATTGATTTCAGATAGCTCTCTAGAATACACATCAGAAATATTTTTGTAGGTCAAAACTACAACCTTCTTGAGGCCAAGCCAAAGGTGTTTAACTAATCTTAACATAAAGGTTGTGAGGACCAAGGTTGTCAATGAGTAACCTCAAATCACATTACAACAGTATGAAAAGCCCAGCTCTGCAGGAGATGTAGGACAGTGAGAAGATGTTTATTTGTTTCACAGCTGTGATGGTAGCTGGAGAAATATGGTCATTTCCTCTTTACAGCTGGGTCAGGTTCACACAGCAAGGGCTGAATTACCCCACATTTAATGTAAAATACCAAGAGGAAAGAAGCATGTGAATTTAGGCCACTTCCCATTCCTATGCTGGGTTTTCCCGTGAAGGATCCCTGTATTCTCTGTCCTGCTTGCTACACTGGAATGGTTTCCCATGAAGCCATACATAAACTTCTATCCCTCCTGAAGGATTCCCATGGATTCCTGAAGGAAAACAAGCTATCTCCCATGTCTGTGGACACAGCCACAAAGGGTGGGTGATGGTTGTGAAGAAACCAGACACATCCCTGGATTTTCTGTAGGAACACAATTCAGGATATCTATGGCCTGAGGAGGAGCAGCTGGGTCCAAAAGGGAACAATGGATTACTGTGACTTTTAAACCATGTCATCAGAAAATTCAGCAATTACAGGGATGTCTCTGCAGTCATCCCAGACCTGTGAGGACTGTTTGCTTGAGTTAGTTTTACTTTACCATGGATTTTTACCTGGGACAAAGGAAAACCCTGAAAGGTCACAAAGCAAGGGACAAAACCATTAACAGTGGACTGAAAGAAAAAATAACTAAGCATAATTTTCTTCTTTCATGCAACTAGTGAATAGATTCCAGGAAAATGGATGGATTATGAACATCAGCCCCATCTATTAACTTTTTTATTACTTCATTATCAATCTCTTCCCTTATGATGACATTCAAGGTTCTTCCTGTGGGGATCAGGCACTGACCTGAACAACCAGCCCATGTTTCTGCTGGATCCACACCAGGCTGGTTAGATTGCTGCACATTGCCTTAGGGTTGCTCTCAGTTTTAAAGATCACCCACGTGATTTTCTGAAGCACAGAAGGGAGAAAAGGGGAATAGAAATGTCTTCAGGAGCTTGCCACTATGAAGTATTCAGGTCAACTTACCTTTCCTTCACAAAGCATAAAATTGTTACTCATTAAGAACTAGAAATCTGTAGAAGCTTAATGAAGGATTAACTTTCTTATAATTAAAAACATCTCAAATTTTTAATCTTTCATATGTCTGCTACTTGCTTAATAAAAAATTGATATTTTGAACAACATGTCTAATAATACTTCTGTAGGTGTTCAGATGAACTTGTAACTGAGTGAAAACTAATTGATTATATGCAGAGACAACGTTATTTTTCAAAAGCATTTAAAAAAAAAAAAAAAAAAAAAAAGAAAAGGAAGAAAAAAGAGGAATTTAGAGTAACAGTCACATCTCATTTGTGCCTTTGAAAATCTTCTCCCCAAACCCCAACGTGCCATTTTAGCAAACTGGTAGATGTAATTCAGAAGGAAAAAAGCTTTGTGTTGGGTATGGCAGGAATCTTGACATTTCTCTAGGAAAATAATTAGCCTGGAAATACTTCTAATATTAATTGCCTCCCAGGGGTAAGTGTCAGCTGTAGTGGGATAGGAGGAGGGCATAGCAGGGGAAAAGCTCCTTCCTCAGAGCAACAGATTCCCAATTCCTTCCCTTCCTGCTGTGCCTGTGCCAATCCTGGAAAGTGCCCACAGGTCAGGGGGAGAATTCCACAGCTCTTAGGGCAAGTGCATCACTGGGTTTTGCCTCAAGCTGCTTTTCTCATTTTGATAATTTTCCATAGCACGAGGAGGTGCATAGGTTCTTTTTTACTTTCAATTGGGATATGGCCTGAAAGCTTTTTTTTAATCCTCACCTTTTCTATTTCATACCCAATGCTATTATGAGAAGCTCTTTCATTTGTAACAGTCCAGGCTCTTTGAAAGTGAACTTAAACTTGATTTTTTTGGAGCTAAACATCAACTGAATGCAGCCATTTCACAAAACAGAAAAGAATAAGAGCCTCATAAGTGTTACCATATAGCTAAATCCTACAGATACCTTACACTGAAATATTGCCATTGACTTTAGAAATCTCAGCCAAATTAAAGGTGAGTGAGGGCACAGAAATTGAGGGAATTGAAAAACTGATGTAATTTTAAAGTTGAAAACTCAGGTTTCCTTTCAAGCTACCTAGACTAGTAGATCAATATCTCTTTTGAAAAAATAGCAATTGATACCCCTCCTGAATCAAAAATTTAAAATCTGCAAATGACTCCTATGAACTTTTTCACCAAAACTATTATTTTCTCTCACTTTTTTCTTCTCACTGTTTTCAGAAACGGAGATCTGTTTCCCAAAAACAAGTTACAGAGTCACAAGAAAGCATTGGTATGTGAAGGAATGGAAAATGGAGAGAGAGACTACTTGCAAGGGTTTGGAGGGACAGGACAAGGAGGAATGGCTTCAAACTGCCAGAGGGCAGGGATGGATGGGATATTGGGAAGGAATCCTTCCCTGTGAGGGTGGGGATTCCCTGGCACAGGGTACCCACAGAAGCTGTGGCTGCCCCTGGATCCCTGACTTTTATATCCCTTCCAACCCAAAGCATTCTGTGATTCGGAAAAAAAAAAGATGTGACAGTGTCAAATGATATTTCACATGGCTTTTTTTGGGGGTTGGGTTTTTTTCTTGTGGAAGCAATTCAATGCCACTGGCATTTAAAATCACATGTTTAATTCTGTCCAAATGAAAAATTTTTAGCGTTTGGGGTTTTTTTTCCCCTCGAAAGAAATGTATTTTCAAAATTTGTCCAAATTTGAGGAAAGAGTAGTTTTAACATTCTGTAAGAGAATGCTCCATAAGAGAATGCATAAAATAGGATTTTCTATGCTGTATAATGCTGATAAGTACCTGGAGCACCCTGGAATAGAGGAAGATGTCCCTGCCCATGGCAGGCGTAGCACTGGATGGACTTTAGGGTCATTCCAAACCAGACTATTCCATGACTCTCTCATCAGGGCTTCACCCTATTGTTCCAGGTGAGCTCAGACATGGTGCAGCTGTGTGACTGCTGCAGGTGAATAGAATGTTCCAGCACGTGGATTGCTGGCAGGGCAGCATGTAGGACGGTGATATATTTTAAGCCAGTTATAAACTGTAGAATTAAACTTTACTGAAGTAGTTCATTAACTTCCCACTTAATGTAGGTTGTTACTTCTTACATCTTATCACCACATATAAGGTACTGTGAGGATTTACCACTGTCCCATAGAGTGCACTGGTGGCCATGGTACCTGATGCTCTTTAGTCATAGAGATGAAGATATTCAGGCTAGTGAGCTTCTGATGAGATAGAACAAACATGACACAGGTTGTTCCTTCTGCGTGATTTCTCAGTCATCCTGAGAGTTTTATGCTTCTCATCCTGTGATGGTTTTTAGCTTGTCCCATCTCCAGAAGGAAACCTTCCCTACTGACCCAGGTTATTTTGGTTTTGGTATCATCAGTCAGTCTGAGTATTGGCACAATGTCCTGCCCATTTAAAGAGTTGTGCTTGCCACAAGCATGTCTGTCATCACATTGCTCATACAGTTATGCAAATTTACTGCAAATGACTGTGCCATGACAGTGCTAGCAAATGGTCAACACTGACCACTATGACCAGCTACACTACTGCAGTACCCCTGGTAGGGTTCAAGACAAATTAATATTCCTTATCACCTAACTACTCTTTAATTTATATATTCACAGGTGTCTCAGTTGTCTCCTTTGGCTAAATAACCTTGCATCAGGCTCTAGGGAGGAGTTTTCCTGGGAGGAACCTCATCCTGAGCTTCTGCAGTTCACATAATCCCATAAGCACAGAACTATTCGGGTCGGAAAACACCTCTGGGACCACTGAGTTCAACCTGTGACTCAACACTACCTTGTCACCAGACCAGAGCACTGAGTGCCATGTCCAGTCACACCTCCAGGAACGGGGACTCCAGCACCTCCCTGGGCAGCCCCTTCCAAAGCCTAACCACCATTTCCATGGAGAAATGCCTCCTGATGTCCAACATGAACCTCCCGTGGAGCATGCCCTGGACATGCACAATAAATACTGACTTGCCTGCTCTCCTGGACTCTTGGGTCACTCTGTTTGCTGTCCCAGGATCTCTTCTGCTCCCTTGAGCTTGGTGGCACTGTAGCTTCAAATAAGAACCAACGCTGACTCTGCTTCTCTTCCACAAAAATCTGGTCCAGCTGCTTTCTGACATCTTCAGACATTAATCTAGAGTTTGATTCACCCACACTCCCACAGCATGATCATCCTGTGTCTTACAGGACTGATGCTGGCAACGACAACCTCCTTAATCAATGATCTTGTGGTAAAGTAGCTGGAAACAATTTCTACAGATACATCTTAATTGAACAACTTATTTAAAAACATCAGTTGCCTGTTCTCCTACAGATAATACTGTGACATTTTCTTATCACTTGTTTACTCTTTGTCTTATTCCCCCTCCCAAGATGTCATAGAGCAGGGGCTGTGAACTGGAACTTCAGCTGTTTCCTATCAGGGTGGTCATTTTGTTCAGCTACACCAACATGTAACAACTGAGGATGTCCCTGGGAAGAGAAAGGCACACCCAGAGGTGCAGGCTTAGCCAGATGTGCAGTTCTGACAGAAGCCAAACACCTGAATATCCCAGGCATTCAATATTTAAGAGCATTTCTGATGTGAACAGTGGTAAGGCAAGTGACCACCTTTGGGACTGTGCTTGGAGCTCTCTGGAGAAATTTGGAAAAGCTTTGAATCACTGAAAAGGTTATTTTGCCCACTGAAAAGTGATTTTTGGAATGAGCTGAGGCTGTCACATCTTTTATTGTATGTAGAAATGACAATGAAAGTAACATTAAATGTTCAATTTTTCCCCTCTATGTTGGCCAAAAACTATTGCCCATATCTTGAACTCACCCAGCCTTAGCTTGAAATTAGCTATTTTTGTCTTGGATATTGGGATTGGACTTTTTTTGGGTATTTGTGGTAGTTTTTGTGGGTTTTTTTTTCTAGTTTTGTTCTGCTTTGGTGTGCTGGTATGTTATAACAATGTCATATATTTTGAAGCCATTGGACAAAAATTAAGATTTAAAGGGACCACAGGATTTGATGAATTCCAAGCTCCTGGTTAACTGTGTTTCTTGATGCAAATGTTTTCCAAGAATCACATAATGGTTTGGGCTGAAAATGATCTTCAAAGATCATCTAGTCCAACACCCTGCAGGGTTGCCTTCCACCAGACCAAGGTTCTCCAAGTCACATCCAGATTGACCCTGAACATTCCCAAGGATGGGGTAACCAAATTTTCCCTTGGCACCCAGTTCCAGTGTCTCACACACTCACCAATATCTTCCTTCTGTCCAATTTAAATTTACCCTCTTTCATTTTAAACTAAGGGAAGACAAAATTCTCAGTGATAACCCTCCAGTCCTCCCTCAGTCACTTCTCCTGCCTACAAGAATGAATGATTCCTCCTTATTACTGTAGAAATTTTCTGAAACATGAAGTTGAAGCTTAGTACCTGGCACAGAAAGCGTGTCTCAATTGTTTATTCATCTGATAGCAGGATGATGTCTTTGTGAAATGTCCAATTTTGGAAATTGGACAGCTTGCCATTATAATTTTCCATCCTCAGTACAACTGGCTTAAAATTGTTTTCTACAGTACTTCTGCTGATTGTCCTCACACAAAGAATTAGCAGTCATCAACCACAGCCTTCATAAACAAAGACCAAACCCTAATCCAAAAAAATATGCAGTATTATATAACCTTTCTCTTTTTTGAAAGCAATCTTGGAGATGTAAGCACCACATACCAGTGAGAACTGTGCTATTTCAGGGTTCCCTGTCTTTGTTTAATCTCAACCTTCCTGCTTACTACAGCAGCAGTCTAGGTGAGGAATACCCCTTCAGTCAAATTAAAAAGGAAAAATAACCAGCTGGCACTGGAGGGCAGATTAAACAAATCATTAATTTGAGGGTCATCAATGTATGTGCCTATTTTTCACCAACACAGAGCATATGTGAGCAGGAAATCCAAATGACATCATCAGCAAAGCCTGAGTTTAATTTATTCATTACTTCTTCCCCAAAGGTTCTCAGTAATAAATAAGCAATTGCATATGTCTTCTTGTATATATCAGTCGTATACAGCCATCAACAATAAATTAGATACACGTCTGACCTGAATATTTAAAAGTTAAATGGAAAATGAGACATATTCTCTCACAATTTGCTCTTACACTGTCAGCTTACACCTACTGTTTGTAAATTTTTGGTCAGCAAGTACAAATTTCCACAAAAATCCCATCCAGGAAGAAGAGAAATCCCATCCAGGAAGGAAGGGGAGTGTGGGAAACAGCTCTGTGGGTACCAAGATGAGAAAAGAAGGAAAGAAGGAGGGGCTCAACTGAAGTTGAGCCTTGCTGAAGGGGTGGGGTTTTAATTTTGTCCACATTACTACACAAACATATTTTAATTCATAATTAGATAAATAATTACATGATAAAATTAATTATCATCATTAATTAATGTATAACTAAATAATTGTTATTACAGAATAGATAATTTTAATAATAATTATTATAATTAATATATAATAGATAATAGATAAATTGATTATTTGCCCAAGTTTGAAATTGTTTTGCCTACAATGGTAATTGGTAGGTGATCTTTGTGTTTTGATCTCAACCAGGAGCTTTCACATCCCATTTCTTCCAATTTTCTCCTCTTGCCCCAGGGATCCTGTGATCCAGTTGAGACCAGCTCCACAGCCCTGGGGAGACAGGTCAGTCCCACTGGAAGTGACTGGCTTGCCCACTGAACACCTCTAAGCTGCTAAAATATTGTGGTCCTGAGAAATGCTGAGCCCAGTCTGGGTGGTAACAGTTCTTTAAATTAACTGGAATTCAATGTGAAAAATGTTAAACACCCCTTAAAACCCAAAACTGTGTTTTAATTGAGGAAAATTTAAACAACGTGAGTTTTCCCATCCTGGAATATGAACCTAGAAGAGACCCTGAGGCTTCATTCACTTCACCACAAGGTTCAGCCTGCCTTATGCTGAGGGCCTGCCATTTGCTGCTCAGCAATCTGCCTTTGGCTTCCACCTCTGGTAACTTCTCTCAACTATTTTTATGGCAAAGTTACTTCAAAGTCTCTACAGAAATATTTTCCCCTTTTTTGTTCTCCTGCTGTGTTTTTTGTGCTGCTCATGACACAGCATCTGCCAATTCTGATACTGTTATTATTGTGGTGTGTTTCCATGAGAAAAACGAGTTGCCTGAAAATCACCCTGTATTTTCTCTTGCTCTCCTTATCCATTAACTTGTTAAAAAATCCCTTTTCTTGCCCTTCCCAAAGAAGAAACTTTCATTATGAGAGTTGAGATGTGCCATCATCTGGGTCATTGCTGATAAAGCCTTGCATGTAGGAAAGTTCCCTTTAGGAAACAGCTTGATCCTGGTCATGCCCATATCCCAGCAGAGCCCTGGAATTTTCCCAGGCAAACTATTGCACTGCCTCACTAAATCATCAGTTTGAGCTTTTCCACACTTTTCTTCTACCTCATTATGTCTTGACCTGTTTGGTTTGTCCTGGCTCACGACAGGAATAGAAAACCACTTTTTCATTTCCATTTACAATGGTAATGGACAGAAAGTAACTTTGTGTTTTAAGTGGAACATCACATTTGACACCTAAAAGAACCAACAAATATCTTCAAAACTTACCATGAAATGTGGCCTCTGGCAAACTGATAACCCACTTTCTGTCTTTCAGATGGATTTAATACCTCCAGCATTAAAAGAACCAGAGATAAAGAATTTCTGACTTTTGTAGTGGCATAAATAAGATTAAAACCTGACCATTGTCATGACGATAAAATGAAAACCATCAGAAAGATATTAATTTAAATATTTTAATAATATACAAGTTATTATTCTCTTTATATCCGAATTATATAAAATGTTACAAATAATATGACATCACAGATAGTCACCTGATGCTGTTTTTTTAATAACATCATTATTCTTGTGACACTGCCAGCACATTTTGATAACAAATTGACCTAATTAATTTAATTGATCAGACTGAACCCAGAGTTTCCATTTCAACAGAGCACTTTAACACTCCCTGGAGTTCAAGAAGTGACTGGGCTTGCCACTTAATGCTGTGGTTTAGTTGAGGCAGTGGTGACAGGCCAAAGTTTGGATTCAATGCTCTTGGAGGCTTTTTCCAACCATAGTGATCCTATTATTCTATTCTATACAAAACATTCCTTTCTTAATCAAAAAAAGGTACCTGAAGAATGAGGTTTATTCTTGCTGGAGGTGGTTAATGACACTCAATTGAGTGCTGAACAGTGCAATGAGTTCAGCCTGTCCCGTTGATAATTCATTGAATTAAAGCCAAAGTGTGTTAGAAGAAGCCAGAAACTTTGAAAGTCTCCACACATTCTGCCATGGATCTTTCAGGGAAGAGGAAGGCCCACCATCCAACATGTTTACAAGAGGACCAGGCTGCAGAACTGGGCTAAAGGATAGGGAACCATTTGGCCTTTACAGGGGCTGGGGTTTACAGGGTTAATTACGTGGCTGCAGCTTGAGCTTCCAACATTGAGTTCAGAGAGGAATTTCCAATGGCTGGTTAATACAGTCCAGAATCTGAGATAACTATTCTAACCTTAATTTGATGAAATTAAATCCTGACCCTTCCTTGTAGCTTCAGTATGAAGTGATGGAGAACATAGGGACAAATTAAATTTGACCCTTTGGGGCAAAATTAATAAAACTGAAATTCACATCCGTTCAGGGGCAGTTGTCTATTTTATCCCTCTGCCAATCCAGACTCCTAAATCTTTCTCTAATTGAGGCAAAACCTTCATCTGGAGCTTTTATGGGTTAGGAAAAAGAGAATGAGAATTTCATATTTAGAAATTATATTACATAGAGAGTAAACTGACTTTGGATTCACACATTTCCTGATTTATAAAGCATATTATTCTCTGCATTATTGAATTTCACAGAAGAAGAAAACATTTGGAGTTAGTGTAGTCATTCCCTCTCTGAGAATAATGTTGCTGAGTTCAATATGCACATCTTTCTTAAACTTCCACAATAATAAACCAAAGGCTTTCCTCATTTCCCAATTCTTTGTTGTATTGTCTTTTTGGCTGGTATTTTTTTAATACAGTTTCAGAATTTCACACAGTGTGATATTCACAGGGAACATAAACTAATATTGCCCTGTGACTTGAACTGCAAAAATGTACCAAATAACTGCAAATCTCATTCTGAGTTTGCTAATATATTTTATTGACTCCCAGAAAATAGACTTATACTAGGAAATAACTTTCCTCATAGCACAAAAGATAAAGTCTTCTACTTGGTGTGATGCCATAGCATTTATACAGAGGAGGGTAAGAAATCCATAAAACAAACCAGGATGGTCAGGAAAAGGGTGCCCAGTTTTTCAAGCAGAGGTCTGTGAGTTGTTTAATTTTCAAGTTTCATGGACTGAGGCTGGCAAGGGAGGTGATAGGCAGCAGGTCTTGCTGGTTGAGGTCATTCAGAGCTCCTCAGAGGAACTTCAGAGTTCCTTTTGCACAGAAGAAAGAGCATTAGGTTTGGCTCTGGAGAAGTGAGTCCAAGAATTTAAAATGCCTGGACTCCCTGCCTGCAGGAGAGAGAGAGAAGACACATCTGGGCTCTCTGGTCTCTTTCCATATTGCTACCAAGTAACTGATGGGTTGTATACATGTTTATATATATAACTGTTGTATATAAAATTTCTTCTTCCTGACTAGAAAGACCATTTTCTAGGATCATTTCCTGTACCCTGTGCCCTGTAACCCAAAGCTCTGTCTGCAGAAGATTGTCTGGACTTCTGTGTGGAAGCTCTGAGGATTGTCACCCTGACAAGGAAGATCAATTCAATATTGAACATGGTGGCAACACAAATTCAGAACTGTGTGACAAAGAAATCACGACTGTGAGATCAATGTTAATTTGTTATTTATCTCCTCACCCCTAAGCAGTTCCTGAGGAATATCTTAAATTTCAAAAACTTCATGATTTTTTGTCAATGACTGAACACAAATATGCTCATGTGCTCTAGAGGTTTACTATAACTGCCTTTGAAGTCACTTATAAAACTTCATTATAGTGATTATTGATCAGCTGTTCATACACCCATATAGAGCAGACATGATTTGCACTCTGTAAAAGTGTGCAACAAAGCAGTGATTTTCATTAGTTAATGATCCTTTACCATTGAGAATTATGTTCTTATAATTTTTCTTTATTTTTTGAAAGAGAGGTGGAGGATTTTTCTCTCTATTTAATTAGAATAAAGTTTATTTGGTTGCCAGATTGATATTCCTTGGTGATCTGTACTGAACCTGTTGCCCATCTTAATCCATTTGATAACAAAAAATGCTTTATCTGGAAATGTAGCTTACTGGCAGGCGTGATGGAACCACCAGTTGAGAAAATAAAGCTCAAAATAATATGGAAGTTTAGTTCTCTTCATCTGTTAACCCCAAAGGTCTAATTAAAGATATAATGAACAGCATGAAGAGAAAAAAGAAAATATTCAACTATTCAGTCTCTAACACATAAAGCAGTAAAACTCTTTGCTTTTCAGTCTAAATATTTTATTTTTTTTCTAACTATGAGAACTGAATCAATATATTGGGGACAAAATAAGGATATAAACAGAAGATGAATTCATGAGCAAAGTTCACTATTGTGTCTTTATCAGACCCATTGGTTTGACTGAAATGTAAATGCACATGGTTGGTTATTCACACTTGACATTCACTGATACTACCTTTACTCTCTGGCTCATGACCATCTGCATCTCACTTTTCTGAAAGTATAGAGAGAATAATTTAAAAACTTCTTATGGGCTTTATTTTGTATGTTCTTTTAAATTGTATATTCCCATGTAGGTGTGTGTGTATATATAGATAGATAGATAGATAGATAGATAGATAGATAGATAGATAGATAGATAGATATACATATAGATATACATATAGATATATATGTGTGTGTGTGTGTGTGTAAAACAAGAATTCCCTCAAATCTGCTATTTACTAGGAGTTCATAGGACATGACATCCCATCTTCAGCTTCGTAACACATTTTGCTTTGCCAAGAGCTTTCAATTTGTTTCCTGTCTAAGTACCAGAAGCCTTTTTGGCAGTAGAAATTGGGATGAAGCACTGAAGTGGTTGTGGCATATGATAATCTTCCAACTGTTCACAAATATATTTTCAAAGCAGCTTCTGCTGGACTAACAGCTCAGGATGGAAAAGCTGTAGGACACACAGTCATACAGCAACAACTAATGATGAGTAAGGATGGACAGACTGTATTTGGGGTGGATAAAGGTGTAAACAGGGTAGTCATCCACTTTTCCAAATTACACCTTCTTTTCCAAATCCTCATTAACAGGAAAGGTGGCAGAAAACTGGAGGAAGAAATGAAAATGCGAAGTTAATGGTTATTTTTAGTATCCTTAACCATCAGCCACTCCAATCACTCAAAATTTGAATCCCTGCCTACACAAATACTTAAGGAATATTCTCCATGGAAAGCCTAAGTCACACATATTAACTAGGTTGCTTGGATATTTTGCTCATGAATTTTTCTTCAACGAACATTATAAAATTCATATTTCTACAAGTAATGTCTGCTTGAACAAGTTAAATTTCATTATTTCATGTAGCCATGCCTTTTTTTTAAAGGAAATTCCAGTTACTCAGTCAAAACAACAACAAACACATCTGACCAGTGCTGAACAAACTGCATGTGCACTGGAGCAAAATTCAAATTGCTAAAGTGAGGAGATGATGAGATTC